GACTGTCCTGGTTTGCACCTATATTCCCAGTGAAATACTTAATAGCATCCCCTTTCCCACTCAAAAACACCCCAGTCTGGATGATATAATGAGATCACTCTACTTATTAAATCCACCTTTGCAAAAATCTCACTTCCTTAGCTGACAGTAAACGACTCAATGATGGGAACTTCATCACATTCCTCTGTAACCCATCTGCACTTGCTGGCATTTGCCCATAGTAGCAGCTCAAATAGCATTTGAAAATCAATTGGTCTTGTTATCTTTGACAATGAGTAAGCACGGGATATGCTTATCTTGCTTATAAACAGTCTACCCAACAGATAATTCTATTGGGAATTACCTATCCTACTCCCCACCACCCTCCCCTGACACACACACACAAACAGAGAGAGAGTCTGGCCCAAGTACTCATCCATACTCTTCCACAAGCACCATCTTTATTGGGCTCCTCATTCCAAGTGGGTGCGGCCAGGAGCAGGGCTCTCTTGTGCCTTGTAGAGCCCAGAACTGCACTTCTAGATTTTAAATGCTCTTACTGGGGACTGTTCTGCAGCAAAATTGTAACAAACAGTTTGTCATTAATGATGCTCATGTCTTCTTTAAGCACATCCACTACCTCCTTCATTCACAAAACAATTAATCAGCATTTGTTATGTCCTAGCTACCATGCAAGGTGCTAGAGACACAAAAAACAAGCAGAGAGTCCTTCCCTGTAAGAACATAGAACTTGGTGGCAAAGAAAGGCACTCAATCAGGACACTGCATAACACATGCTATTAAGAAATGCATCATGTGCTAGGGGAGCACATAGCAGAGAGTATCTAATTCTAATTAGTCTACTTGCATGAGTTGGGGAAGGTTTCACAGAAATGACATTTGAGCTGAGTGACCAAATAAAGAATTAGGAAGAAAAGGTACACCTGGAAGATAAATTGCAAGAAATATGTCCTGGAAACAGGAACTAATTAAGTATGCAAAAAACATGCCTGGCAAGGGAGCTGGAATGTGGAAGGGGAGAGGACAGTAAATCTGGCTGGAAACATAGACTGGAGCCAGACAGAGCATCAGATAACATGCTTGGAGTTTGGGGCTTTATCTCATAGGCAAAGAGAAACCAGCAAAGGTTTGTTAGAAAATAGTGCAACTAGATTTATGCTTTAGAAAGCTTGCCCTTGCAGAGAACACCAAAATTCACATGCAGAAGTTTACAGGCTACTTTCCTGTAAGGAGGGGTTGGATGGGGAAGCTGTGTTTGCCAAGTAAATATGCCATTTACACTTAGTGTATGTTTACATGGGATGGCTGGATATGAGTGGTAGTCCAATGGAGATTATGAAGATGCTAAAGTCTTCTCCACCAAATATTCATTCCACTCATCTGGTGCTCCTCATATCCACTCTCTGTTACTGGTTGGATTTTGAGGGGAAAGCAGTGGTGATAGAGGAGGTAGGGGTAGGAGGAGATTGCAAGAAAGGAAAAAGCAACTGGATGGAGAGTGATGACACTAACAAAGTTGGAGAATACGGGAGACCCAGATTTTGGGGAAGTGTAATGATGAGCTTGGTTTTAGACATGTGACATTAGAAGTGTTGGTAGGAGTTCCAGATGGAGGAATCTAAGAGGTTATAGAATTATCAGTGTTAGAGATCAGGGAAGGACTTGTTCTGGAGCTAGAGCCTAGCGTGTTTTCAGCATACAGTACTCATCGGAACTATGGGAAGGAGGATGTCATCCAGGGAAAGGATGGATATCAAAATGAAATTCTTTTCATTGTAGGAGAGATATAATTAAAGTAAGCTGGGCAGGGGGACATCCATCGTGTCAACTTTGATTTGTTGGCAGTGTCTCCCTGGAGCCACCAAGAAAGATTCTAGGGCCACATTCGGACTCACAAGGCTGTTAGTAGAGTGAGAGAAGGTCTAGACATAGGGTCACCAATACCATCTTAGATTTAGGAGGTTGTGAGACACAACAGTGCAAACGAACAGCAAAAAGCCCAACAGCGAGAAATGTTCAACAGGGCCAAGTGCCTCAGGAGATGACCCAGAATCAAGGGCTGGAGAAGGTAGGTGGAAGCTGGACTGTCTCAGTGATGGAGAGAGTTGAGGAGTAAACGGGAGGAGCTGAAATTACCTCAACCCGAGGAAACTGAGGAAACCGCACCTCAGGAGATCCCCAGAGTCTTTCTTCCCATTCCTGCAATGTCTGCCCAGGGATCGCAGGGCTCCATCCCCACCCACCATTTTAATGAGTGCCGCCTTTTCTCACTCTCTCCCACACACACACCGCCCCCCCACACACACCATGCCCGAAAGCTTAACTATCCTTTGATAACATTATGAACTAAATTAGGACTTTTCAAATTTGAAAGACCAAGGCCAAAAGGACATCTGTATACAAAAGGATGCAGTCATGCGAGCATGCGCGCTCTTCCACTAAGAAAATAAAGAAATAGGGCGCCTGGGTGGCTCAGTTGGTTAAGCAACTGCCTTCGGCTCAGGTCATGATCCTGGAGTCCCTGGATCGAGTCCCGCATCGGGCTTCCTGCTCGGCAGGGAGTCTGCTTTGTCCTCTGACCCTATCCCCTCTCAGGTGTTCTCTCTCTCTCATTCTCTCTCTCAAATAAATAAATAAAAAATATTTAAAAAAAAAAAAGAAAGAAAGAAAAGGGAAGGAACGGAAGGTGAAAAGGCCCCAGGCCTCTGCCCACCCTGGGGCGGAGCTTGGAAAGGACGGTGGGAGGGGGCAGCCTTCTGGGTTCCAGCAGACCAGGTGAAATGCAACAAATGTGAAGACAGCCCTAAATTTCAAATCAGAGCTGCCTTTGATTGCAAATGTTTAAACTTATATTAAAGGGAAATGGCCATCAAGGGGATTGCTTCTGGAGCCAGGCTCTGCCTGAAGTAATGGGACTGTTCCCTCATTAGAATGAAAAAGGGACAGAGCTGTGATTGAAACCTCAAGGATTCCGCGCCCCGGCGGAGCTCGGGCCTTTTTTTTTTTTACGCTGCACTGACCCCTAGAGGTTCTCCCTTTCATTCAGAACGTGCTAGGCATCCGGCCCAGGGGAAAATAAATAAATAAATAAATAAGGGGGAAATGCGGCTCTACTTTCTTAAAATCAAAAGGGGTGTGGAGAGCAGGGGAAAAAGAGGAAAACGGGATCCCACTGCCAAGTGCCATCAATTAAAAGCGCCTTAATAGAAGCAAACTTGGTCAGTGCATTTCTCGTGCCCCAAGCGCCGGCAGTTAAGCTTGCTGCAATATTAGACAGACAGATTGGAAGCACGCGATTGCACTTTAAACGCGCCTCTCCGGTTCCCTGCCCCATGTGGCAGCTGAGACCGCAGGCCAGCCGCCAGCCCATCCGGCGCCCGGTCCCCTCCCGGTACAGGGAGGCGGCGGGAAGCTGTGTTCCTGCTCCGCGGACCCAGCGGCCCGGACGTCTGTCTGCACCACCAGCCTTGCTTCTCCCTTTGCCTCCCTTCCCTCTGAAAGAGGAGGTAGAGTCGCGCCAAGTAATCACCCGCGCTGTCATGGGGACGCGTGCGGCAGCGAAAAACTGTGGCGTGTCACACTCCCCCAAGAATCTTTTTTTTTCTTTTTTTTTAAAGATTTTATTTATTTATTTGAGAGAGAATGAGAGAGAGCAAGCGCATGAGAGGGGGGAGGGTCAGAGGGAGAAGCAGGCTCCCCGCCGAGCAGGGAGCCCGATGCGGGCCTCGATCCAGGGACTCCGGGATCATGACCTGAGCCGAAGGCAGTCGCCCAACCGACTGAGCCACCCAGGCGCCCTCCCCCAAGAATCTTAACGACATACTTCCGGCGGCTGAAATTTTGATTTTTAACACGCAGGCCACCGGGGGAATCTGTCCCCATACGGAGGAAGAAGACAGGAAATCAAGCACATGGAACAACGGGGGAGCTGAGATGCTAGGTCTGCAAGTCTGACTTTGGGGGCCGGTGGATTCTGAGGGTGCACTCCCGGGTTGCAGTAAGAGGTCAACCCCACTCAGGGCAGACAGTCCAAGTCAATCCGTCCAAAAGCGGCTGGGATATGGCCTCTAAAATTCAAATGATCCAGTTTTGGTCAGGAAATCTATTAAGTGTCACAAACAGGGACGAAGGAGAAACGTAAGGGTCTTTGGAAACAACAGTTCTAAAACTATTGAAGGGATAAATCTCTTTATCCTTATAAATTCTGGAAGAAGGATTTTAAGCCTGCATATATATGGGTGAATTTTTTTTTTTTCTTTTTAAAAATGAATACCTACGGGGGTTAGGGAAAATGAGGTGGGGGAGGCGTGATTTATAGCCTAAACACTTCAGATTTGATACCAAAAATAAAAACATGGAATCATTAAACAACCCATATCCTGTGGCTAAACCAGTTGCCAGTTTCATGAAAATTACAGTTGTGCCTTCGACACTGTCCCTGACATGATTCATCTGGCGTTTCAGGCTGCCTTTACTACTGATAATTCAGTAATTGATTGGGCAGTGATCTGATTGGATGGGTGACTTAGCTGAAATAATTGGATTGACAATTTCCAATTGATGAGGAGGTTACGCACCATCTTTCACCCATTAGGATCTCATGCATTTCCTTCAAAAGATTCAAGAGCATCATAATTATTCACAAAATTTTCCAGCTTCCCACTGTGGTTGTCCCTCAGAAAGTGTGCCAAGAAGCTAAGCAAAAGAAATACATAAATGTGCAACCATTAACCGCATGTATCCACCTTACTGTTGGCAACCATTAGTCTGAGGCTCCCATTTTCCTTCACAGGGAATCCTGACACAGTCAGTCCTAACACACATAGGACTGCTTGTACCTTCAAATACCTCTTTTTCCCCACACACACTTGAGTTTCAAAGAAGTACCAGAGCAAACACTCCTACCAAGTTATAAGGCTTCCCAGTGACAATTCTAATCTCTGAAAAACTGGGAGAATACAAATCTTTCCAAATGACAAAAAGATGCGATTTATACTTACTTTCCTTTGCCGTTTTGTTCATTAAGCACTTTTCATCCAAGCGACGGAGGCATTTCTTCTTGCCCCATGGGGTTGGAAGGTGAAGACAGTAGAAGTAAAGCAATCAAGTATGGGCGTGAAAGCAGGTGCCGCGGGCTAACTCCTGTTCCCAACTCAGCCCAAAAAGCTGACTGCTCCTTTCATTGGATCTTTTGGCCTGGGAATGATAGAATGTTGTTGCTGGTTCTCAACCTCAGGAGTTTCCTGGGTGAAATTCGAAATCAGCCCCATATGCAGAGGGCAAGGGGAGACCACAGACATGTCACCGCAGATCCGGAGGCGGCAGTTTCGACAAGCAAGGGAACTTACTACAGGAGGCGCATCTTGGGCTCCCCAAGACCAGCAGATCTCTGCACCACCTCTTAAAATCTTCAGAGTTGACACAGGCCTCGCCAGGGTTCTGCCACCACGTAGAGCGTTCAGATGGTCTCAGCAACACCTTACTCTCTCAAGGCTGCATCCTGGAAATTACTGCTCTTGGAATGTACATCCCAACGATAGGGGAGAGGGCGAGGCACCTCCCATTGCTCCGGGTGCAGCTAGAGGGTCAACCGGGGGTTACTCCTCTCAATGACCTTCTCCAACAGTTTCATTTAAAGAAGCTCAGTGACAACAGTATTGTTCTTCCGAAGTCTACGGAAAACTAAAAACTCTATCGAGAATGTCTTCCTTTTCCCTCCAAATGTTGGGTCCTTATAGAATGATTACGATGTGGTAGAAAGCCTGGTAGAGTTTTAAAGATTATTGTTTGTATTATGCAAGTGTTGATTGTTACTTAACTTAGGAGCAATTACCACTGCCCATACATCTGAGTCAAACAATTTAACTTAAATGAGGGATAGTAGTTGCTTGAATGTGTGATTGTAGAAACACGTAACTGTCGGCTAAGTGGAAGCAGAGGGTGTTAAAACGGTAAGTTGCCAAAAGCAACATGCATGCACTGCAAAGGCTGTTGATCACTTTGAAATCCTTCCAAAATAGATTTGGGGTAAAAAGGTAAGTTATGTCAAGGGTTGTGAAGATAATTGATTCTCTGGATGCAAATACCATGGCTTGGCATCACAAGATTTGGGAAAAGAGAGTGGAAAGTAGTAGTTAGCATTCTTAAACAAGGCTGCTTGGATTTGAACCCTGGCTCTGCTGGTAGCTAACTTTATGATCTAAGTTACTTAACCTCTGTGTGCCTCCATTTCCTCATCTATAAATATATTTTTTTAAGATTTTATTTATTTATTTGACAGAGAGAGACACAGTGAGGGAGGGAACACAAGCAGGGGGAAGTGGGAGAGGGAGAAGCAGGCTTCCCACTGAGCAGGGAGCCCGATGCGGGGCTCGATCCCAGGACCCTGGGATTATGACCTGAGCCAAAGGCAGATGCTTAACGACTGAGCCACCCAGGCGCCCCCCTCATCTATAAATATTACCTTCCTCGTAGTGTCCCCGTGAGGATTAACGGAGTTCCTGTTTGTGGAGCGCTTATGACAGTGTTTGGTACATTGTAGGGGCTGTGCAATGCTCTGTATGTGTGTGTGAACTACAAACACAATGGTGAAAGGTGCTTGTTATTTATTGGAAAAATATTCTGAGATGAACAACAAGGCCTTTTCCATCAGCTATTAGATCCTAACATTTTTTTGTGCACTGTGAACCTTTTAAGAGTCTGATAGGAGAATGCTCATAATGCATGACAGTAAGCTTTGGCATAAAATTTCAGCATGTTTCTGGACCCAAAGTAGTCGTGGGCTCTAGATAAAGAGTCTTGCATTAAACTGAAATCAGGTTTATGGTGAAAATATGGTGGCACAATGAACATTAATATAAATTCCAACAAATGTCAACATCTAAGATGTGGTATCAGGTATTTAGGGTGTAAAGAACCAAATTACATCCCCTGCAAAATTCCCATGTTGAGTTCTAAATCCCAGTACCTCAGAATGTGACTTATTTAAAAAGAGGGTCTTTAAAGAGGTAATTGAGTTAAAAATGAGGTCTTTGGGGTAGACCCTAGTCCAGTCTGACTGGTGCCCTTGTAAGAAGAAGAAATTTGGACTCAGACATGCAGAGGGGAAGACGACCATGTACAGGTCAAGGAGAGGGGCCTCAGAAGAAATCAAACCTATCAACCTCTTGATCTGGATCCCAGCCTCCAGAACTATAGGAAAATAAACTGTTGGGTAAGCCGCCTGGGGTCTGCGGCACTTTCTTTCAGCAGCCCTGGCAAACCAACACACAGGGTCATAGAAGCAGTGAGAACAACGGCCCAGGCCACACCAAAGAGCTGAAAGGGCTGCAAAAAAGAGAAGGACACTTATTTCCTTCCTTACTTTGATGTGGGGATATTGGAAAGAAGTGAAGAAAAGCAATTACTATTATGAATTCTACGGAGACCTTGTTTCGAAATACCACCTCTTTTTAAATTCTTCCACTGTCACAATGGTGAGACCTTAGGAGAGTGTCCAAACGAGCCGGCAATAAATACAAAGCTTTCAGATCCAGATGGATTTAATTATGTGGTGAGAGAGAAAGACTTGAGAGGCAAGTGCATGCAAGCACGGATGATGTGGATGCTGGTGTTGGGGTGGGGCGGGGGTTGGCGGGGGGAGGGGGAGGGGGGCCCTGTGGCTGTCCTGTGTCAAACACACCAGTCAGCCTTGGCCAGAGAGCAGAGATTGCATCTCCCTGTACAATACTTCTGCTGTCGCCATTCATAATTGAGGGTGATGGCAAGGCTGAGTCTGCAGGCAGATAGGACATGAATGTTAACACCAAATGTTGGTTCTAGGAAAATAATAGCCCCATTCTGTGAGCCAGCCCTGCCTGTTTTTCCCTCTCTTAGAGCAGATCCTGAGGTGCAGCTCTGCATGCTGTGGTAATGACCAATGAGAAAGAAGAGGGAAGGCTAAGGAAGAGCAGCCCCATCATGGAAACACTTCCCTTTGATCTAGCCCCGGCTAGGATTGCGTACTAGCTCTGGGAAAGAATCAGGACAAGGTTATGAGAGAGCGAGAGCGTGGTAAATAGAACCTCCGAAGGGTTATTTTAGAAACTCAGCACTGACTTTCAACACCTGCTTCGTGGAGCACGTTTCATTTGAAGTATTTCACGGACATTGAGGAATGAGCTGGCAATGCTCATCTTAAATTTTCTTGAATAAAAACAATTCAGAAGCTAGCTTGCATACATTTTTTTTTTTTTTGCTATTTTTAGAAAAAATGTAGCATTCAGGAAATATATGAAATTGATGACTTTTTCCCAGGAGTACAGAAAGTTCCCCATTTACCCTGCCTGGGTCATTACCTCAGTGTGGCCCATCTGAACCTGAGCTTTTTTTTTTTTTTTAAAGATTTTATTTATTTATTTGACAGAGACAGAGACAGCGAGAGCAGGAACACAAGCAGGGGGAGTGGGAGAGGGAGAAGCAGGCTTCCCGCTGAGCCGGGAGCCCGATGTGGGACTCGATCCCAGGACCCTGGGATCATGACCTGAGCTGAAGGCAGTCGCCTAACCAACTGAGCCACCCAGGCGCCCCAGAACCTGAGCTATCTTGACAGCCAGTAAAAAATGAAGGTAATGAGGCTGCCTCTCCAACCAAAAGCTAGGGAAAGTGAAGCGCTAAAGAAATAAAGCATGCCATTTCAGCGAAGATGCGAAATGCTGAAGAAGCAATATTTTCTAAAATATCTAAATGTGGCTTCTTTCAACATGGGACTAGTGAGCCTATTTCCCTTTGGACTTTGACGTAAGCCCTTTCTTTACAGTTTTCTTTATCATTCCCTGTTTTAAAACATATATATTTCTATTACAAGACCTATTTTCTCACTTTCTCATCCTTCTCTCATTCCCAGATCCTCTGCTCCCCTCAGACTCCCCACTTGCCACTTATTAGAAGTCATGTTATTTCTCTCAGTTCTGGGATTTTCACAAGGATGTTGCCAGAAAGGTTGTTCTCTCATTTTCACAAAATCATTCCTTTCTAGAATCGTGGTGGTCCTTCGTGCTGTTCTTTCTGTGAATGTTCTTTTTGTCCCCACAGCCAGAATGGACAGGTGCAGATGCTGTCCTGCATGCACTCTGGCACCTGGGCTCTGCCCTGGACCTGGAGTCCACCAGCTGAGGGGTCTTGCTGAAGGTCCTCTAGGACTCCGTCTTCTCATCTGCAAAATGGGGATAGTAACCCTTCTCTTGCGGGGGTCTGGTGAGTCTGGAATGTGATGAGATATATGTCTGGCATTGTGGTTTATTATATCATGAGTTATCCTCTGAAGTTCTGCTATGAATATAGCAGTAAGAACTGCTATGCTTTTTCCATGGAAATAAAAATAGACTGTAATAGGAAACAAAGGCTCTATCCTGGAAGTGTTTGATCCATGTCTCTTCTCTCTGCACTAGTACAAAGTTTAAGGCAGGGGGGTCTAGTCATTGCAGAGATCAAACCACTTTTCTCATGCGGCACCTTAATTAATGTGACCCCAAGAGTGACCCTGGATTTATGCCCCATGGATCCTTTCCCCTTGTCATTTGTATCTTTACACACAGTTCTAAAAGTAGTTGGATTGTTTGGAAGCACATCACTGGGTCAAACGGTTAGCTATTTACTAAGTTTGCTAATCCAGCTAGCCAATTTTCTATTCTTTAACATCACCATAGAAGACCAAGTCAGATGATAGCATTTTTTCTTTAGGAATTAACCAAAATCTGTCACCAATGCCATCCAACAAAACAAAGAAATGAGTTGGCCACCAAGGAAGGAAAGAAATTGAAAACTGAAATTTACAATAAGGAAGATGCTACAGTAACATAAGTTCCTCATTTGACCAACACTGACCAAGATTTACCCGGAAAGTCTGCCTCTTCGCAAAGCCTCAGGAGGCTCACACGCCGATAAATGAGAAAGGCAACATGCCCTTTTCCAGACAGATCAGCTGGATCTATTCTGTGCGTCAGCCGAATGGTAGATGTTGCAGCCAGAAAGCCCTCCTATCCATATTTGTTTAATGCTAGGCTAGCCAAAGAAATTCTCATCACTAAGGGTGAAAGAGCTTAGTGTCGTCTTTCTCAAAAGACAAGAAAGAGATTATTCAAAATACTTTTTAAAAAAGATGTTAAAATGAATATCAGGATTGAGTTATGAATCCATAAGAATATCATTAAGATTATAGGGGCACCTGGGTGGCTCAGTCGTTACGCATCTGCCTTCAGCTCAGGTCATGGTCCCAGGGTCCTGGGATAGAGCCCCACATCAGGCTCCCTGCTCGGCGGGAAGCCTGCTTCTTCCTCTCCCACTCCCCCTGCTTGTGTTCCTGCTCTCGCTATCGCTCTCTGTCAAATAAATAAATAAAATCTTAAAAAAAAAAAAAAGATTATATGATAGCGTTTTCCTCTTCCACAAAGACTGTGATTACCATGCAAACAGCATTTCCACATTACACTGGATTAGGCCAGAGGACAAAGATGATATCTAACTCATGTGTTACATTTGGAGAGTAGTCTGTATTTTCATTATTGTATCCAGTACAATCCTGAGCATATACATTAAGGTGAATGGATGCAACTCTCTGAAGAAAAATACAGAATAATTAAAAGCAGTGATTGATTCACATGTGTATCTGACTTACATTGAATTTAGAACTTCCTTATGCACAGAATACGAGGCTACTCTTTTGTTTGAGCCTCTCAAATATAAACAAATCCTTTAAGATGTGTTAAGATGTATTAAGCTATGTTGGGGCACCTGGGTGGCTCAGTTGGTTAAGCATCTGCTTTCAGCTTGAGTCATGATCCTGGCGTCCTGGGATCCACCCTGCATTGGGCTCCCTGCCCAGCGGAGAGTCTGCTTCTCTCTCTCCCTCTGCTGCTCCCCCTGCTTGTGCTCTCTCTCTCTCTCTGTGTCAAATAAATTAATTAAATTTAATTTAAAAAAGATATATTAAGATTATCAAGTTTCATTATTGAAACAGTGGAGTAATGCCTTTCAACAGATGAATGGATAACAATAGATAAACATCCATAGCAATAAAAGAATGAACCATGACTTATTCTCAAATGCGTTATGCTAAGTGAAGGAAGCTAGTCCCATAAAGCTATATAACGTATGATTCCATTCATATGACATTCTAGAAAAGATAAAGACTACGGGGAATAGAGAACAGATCAGTGGCTGACAAGGATTTATGGTAGGGAAGGGGTTGACAGCTAAGGGATAGCACAAGGTAATTTGGGAAGATGGTGGTGATATAACTTTCCCCTATCAATTATGGTGGTGGACATATGATTACTCATCAATCAACACTTATAGGCCTGTACATCAAAAAAGCTGAATTTTAGTGCATATGATTTTAAAAA